TCAGAGCTGGCTGTGGTTCTGTGCACTGACATGCGCAACCACGTGAGCTTGCAACGTTGTGGATGGCGCTGAGATTGAGATGCTTGCGCATTGTCATGAACATGCCATGCGCTGCTACTTGAACTTGCAATGCTTTATATAGATGGCGCTTGGATTGAGATGCTTGATTGCTAACCCTCCCGTCCTTCTTAACTCTTTTTTTGTTTTTGGCTCGTTTCGGTTTCTTGTGGGACGTTGGGCTTTTCGAGTTCCCATTCAAAACCACTGACTGAGAGATGTTGGTGGCAACATGGAAAAACACACAGTAATAGGACTAGTCAATCTATAGAAAACGGTGTCACAGGACGGTGCTGTTTTTCACGCAGCTGTTTCGCGCGCAGCCATTTGTTTTGTACGTGGCCCTGACCTGGTCTTGATCTCAGGTTTGTTGGAGTCAGTGGCCAAGTGGCGGCAAGAGAGTTTCCTAAACCTGAGATATGTTTGTCCGCGCTGAGTGTGCTCAAGCCTGCCTTGCTTTTTCTAGATAGCCGCTAGCCTTTTTGTTTGCCTTCCTCTGAGCACGCAGAAGTGTTGCGAATGGATGTTGCAGCTCCTGCTGCTCCTGCTCAAGATCTACGTAGACACGTGCTCCTGCTCAAGATCTACGTAGACACGCAGGGGAAAGACAAAAAGAACAGGTTTGCGGACGACGTGGAGAACCTGAAAGAGGTGACATCAGAGCTGTTGCGCCACTGTGGTCCACGTCTGGACACGCTTAAGAGTCTGTGGAGCGTCCTGACTGCTTTCAGCATGGCTGTCGGTGATATGGTCTCCACAGGAGTGGTGCCCTCTTCGCACAAATTGATCGAGTACATGGAGGGGAACCCTTGTCAAGTTATTGGTCTAAAAAGGCCTATGATGGCTTTGCTGGAGTTGGGACCGTTCAAGGAAGTGTTAGGAGACGACCTCGGCCTCGCCCTTTCGACTTTGCGACGTGTGGATCTCATGATTGAAGAGCAGGGCAGCAAGCTTGACGAAGTGGTAGACGAGATTTTACTCTTCTATCTTGATGCGCATCACATCCTTGTAGCGGGTCCAGCTGGAGCTCAGGTAGAATTTTAATTCCTTTCATAAGCAAAGGATTTTGCGCACAGTCAGTTCAGCAGTCGAGTTGTTGCAAGAGAAGGGATCTGATGCCTTAGTTGATTCATCAGCCGCCTCAAGGGCACAAGATCTGTTATATTGAAGCAAAACCTGAGGTCGTGGTTTGATCATGGGGAGCTGATGGCAAGACGTCCTTCGGATTGAGGTGAGATGCTCAGCACCAGCTTTTCAATCAAGTGTAGATCGGGTGTGATTGGAGTGTTGGGTCTCACAGAAATCTTGTTTTAAGCTGTTGAGGTGGGTGAGCTTGGAGCTGACGGTTGTCGCATTGAGTCGCATGCCTAGCAGGCTGTTGACCCGCCTGATGCACGTTGTTGAATTGAAGCGTGTTAGGGTTAATGGACACTTTCTTTGTTTGAGGGCAGTGTATACCTGGTTGGTTGACTTCTACACGGAGGACGACTGTTTTTCCAGTCGTGCTGAGTTTTTCTCACATTTCCTTTCGTTCACGTTGAGCTTTCCTGCCAAACAAAAACACACCAGGATCATCGAAGCGGTCATCAGAGTGTGCCCCATGCAGTGAAACATGTCCAATTGACTGTCCCTTCTGTGATCTGAGTGTTTTTTGGATTTTGTGCGCTGCCTCTTCTTGTCCCAAACATAGCCTAGAGTTGCTCCATTCCTTCCTTTGATGCCGCTGTGCGATTGTGTGGACGACCTCTCGGCCAGTGAGCCTTGCTCTTAGTTTCTTCGTTGTTGAGACGCCCTGCTTTATGATCTGAGTTTGGTAGCATCTTGGCGCTTTAGGTCGGAGATTGGGCCTTCCGATGAGGCAACCGGAACGTTCGGCCAATTCTATGACAACATGCCAGCGTTCAACGCGCAGGCTTCTGCCAACAGAGCTCAGCCAGTGATCAAAAGGCACTTGAAAGCGAAGGGTTGTATCCAAACGATGCCAGAGATTCGATGGAAACAAGACGGTGAAATTCAGTTTCCTGGTTGCGCGACAGTGTTGAATGTGTCACGGAACAGCATTCTCCTGGCGCCTCATCGAACGAGCCTCTTGAAACCCAAGAAGCTGAACTTGAAGGCGGTCGCAGCCTCAGAGATCTATTGAGAACAATTTGTTCATTCATTGTCGCAGACTCATTGCGCCCATATTGCATTTTTGGTGGTGTATGCTTCTTCAAACTAGTTATGCAAGCCTGACCGCATCTCCGTTGGCAAGCAACGGAATTTGAAATCGGGCTTCTTCACTGGCAGTCGCACGTTTGGGTCATGGAGCACAATCAGTTTTGAACCCAGCTTTTGAAGAGCGCATTCAGTGACAACTTAACCACAGAGTTTTGCTAGTTAAGAATGTTGAGCTGAGCTGAACAAAGTCAAGAACCCGCTAAGTTTTTCATTTGCTCGATATTAGGATGCTTCTCGGCGACGGTGAGATCATCGCCGAAACCCAGCAATCGCGGAATCAATGTGCAAATCTAAGAGTCAACTGTTTTGGAACATGTTCTTGATGGCTCTACTAAAATTGCCGCAGTTTGTTGAGGACCTGGCCAATCAGATTCGATGGAGTGAAGCTTACAGCGCTGCCTGTCAAAACGCAAAGCGGGAACCAGGGACGTTCCTATCATTGCCAGCTGCTGAATGGTTTTCCGGGTTGCCGGTCAACTGGACGTCGTTGCGAGAGAAGGTTTGCAGGAAAACGTTCCAATCTATGTTCCCGCACGCTGCTTCGAAGGAGAGATGAAACAGTTTTGTGTTTTGAGAGTATTTGTGCAATCTTGATTGAAAGTGTAGCAGATTACCACGCGCTTTACTACAGGAGGGCAAACTTGGTTGTGTCAGTCTCTTCAGTGGCTGTGGCGCCCTGGAGCTTGGGCTTTCCCGGCTTGGAGCTCAATGAACTGAGCTCAACCAGTCAAACCGTTCACAGGCAATTGAAAGGCATTGCGCATAATGAAAACCTTTGTCCATTCAACCTTTGGGCTGTCAGATCAATAACAGGCAACAGCAGGTGAACTGGTCATGTTTTTTACTGTAAATATGTGTCATTAGAACATTATGAATTATGATTATACTGTGTTTCGAAGATTGTCCTTACACACCATTTGTTTTACCGAATGGATGTCTCTGCAAAACGCCGATGTGTGGAAGCGCAGCACGCCGCAAAGAGTGTTGGATGAGAGCAGAAGACCCACAGCCACAGACGGCGAAACGCCGACCGGCGTCGTCAAGACCATTGGTATCAACCAAGTAAGGTGTCTCGCACGCATTGGGCGCTGTATGAACACCTCTCATTCTTGTTGAATCAAATACTGTCGGAGTGGAGGGATCAAGCTGTACTTGAAATGACTTAGGATGCAGATCGGTTCCAGCGTGACTACAAAATGGCATGGGAAAGAGCCTAGTGCTTAACTTCACACAGGAAGAGGGATAGGTTTGCGCTATACTGTGTGGAGCTCACGTTTGTCATGAAAGGTGGTTCTGGTGCTGGCAATGCCGACAATGGCTGGAAGTACCCTGCAGCTCCCTCAGTTCTTTCAACTGGCAACGCTTTTTGTTGTCAGCATTTTTTGCAGAGACCACTTCGGCAGGACTGCGTCCTACATTGTAGAGTTGACCTGGGCGGGAGCACAGTTTGGTTTCACCATTGGTCCTGGACGCAAGTAAACACATCACAGACAAAGTGCCCGCAAACAAACTGAGAGCAAAGGAGTGCATATATTGCGGTATGTTTTTGGAACCCTTCACTTGACACCAGAAAGGCGGAACTCTTGCTTCGCAGCCAGATGTCATAGATGCCAGCGAACGCTTTTTGCCTAGGTTCATTTGGGCCACCAATTACGTCAAACTCTCAGTGAAGGTTTCAGCTAGAATTGAGACCGGTTGGAGTGGTGATTGTCCTAGGTAGAGATCAATGAGTTTGCGAGGAAGGTTTTGGAAACGAGAATCAAAGAAGGTTACCTGCACACTGGAAGCATCCACGATGATATCCACACTTTCAAGATGCCTGAAGATACGGAAGCAGAGGGTTGTGGAGGGGGCTTCCCCTGTCAGGAGCGGTGTGCGCCTGATGTAGGTAATAAGCATGTTTTGTTTTTGCGTATTGGGTGATTCTTCTTGTTTGGCAGGGGATATCATGCGGCGGATCTCAGAACGGCTTGTCAGATCCACGATCGCGCCTTCTCAAGAAGGTGTTTGATGTGTACGACCAGTTGCCAAGGAAGCAGAGGCGGAAAGAGTTTCAGTTTTGTTCACTGCTGTATTCTACGGTATTATGTGGAAGGGTGTTTTGAGAAGTGTGATGAAAGGAGCAAACGTATTCTGCGAATCGTCCAGGATAAGTTGAAACGACTTAAAAACTCCTGGTGACCTATGTCCTTTCAACCTCTCCTGGATTCTTCGACCATGCAGATTGGAAGTGTTCGCTGTTTGTTCCGGCCAGGAAATTCATCTATTTGGAGAACGTGAAGAGCATCCTCTCGAAGCAGGAAGACATGAAGAAGGTAATGCACTTCCTGACGAAGGCGTCATATTTCAACTTTTGCGACTTTGTGTGCCCCAACCCTCCTGCATGCCGGATAGTAATAGACTTCAATGCTTGGCCCAGGCCTGTTTCGAGCGCGGTTTGAAGCTGAGCTGGGCCAGTGTGTGCCTCGAGAACGTCGGCCTTCCAGTTTCTAAGCTGAAAAGACCTTAAAGAACAATCTTATGTTCCTCAATTCTTTGTCTCATCTTCCCAATTTGTCCAGTTACTTTTTCTTTGGAGGCGCAAAGGAGAAGAACTTTCTCCTTTGCAGTTGCTGACGGCTTGAAGCTTTTCCAGGATGATGTTCTCTTGAGTCTTGAGAGTTTCACATGTTTGCAAAAACAGATATGATTCTGACAGTGGTTAGAAGCGGATTCTTTTGCAGGAATTGCCGCTACAGCCTTTGAACAGCTTCTTTCAAGAGCCTTTCAACCCGCTGAATTCTTTGCCGACGCACGAATGGCTTAATAATGCCAAGCCAAGCGACGAGGACGAAGCTCGATTGACTATGCTAGGCAATGTCGTGGTGCCACAGTGTGCCCAATTGGGCAGCTGCATTTTGCAGCATGTGATTCAGGGACAGCAGAAGCAGTAGGGGCTGTTAACTGTTGTGTTGAATCTTTTGTGAGCATTGACGCCAGGAGAGTTTGTTGCTTTGGGCTAGTGTTGCTGACCCCAATTCAATTTGGTTTGCCAGTTTCTTCAGACTGGGACACCTTTGCATTAGATCGACAGCCACAGTGGAGTTACAGCCTCCATCCCATGGTTGTGTGCAAGTGAACGGCAAGATTTCATGCGCGAGAGTGTCCAAAGTGAGACTGCAGCTCACCCGCGTTCGAAGTGCTTCCTTTTATTCGGTCAGCTTCACCTGTGTTTGTTGTTACGCCCAACTTGTTTTCGCGACATGACTCGCTCAGCAGGGTTCCAGGGCTTTTTTGACACGCCTCAGCTTAAAGTTAGGGTCTGTGAGCCCTGTCAAAGTGACCAGAAAGCGTCGAGTTGCCACGTATGAGATGATGTTGCAACTCAGTATCAGTTTTGTGTAGGCCAAACAACTTGTAAATATAGTTGCGGTGTGGCAATGGAAGACGATGGCCCGCAAATTGCGGCAGTCAACACTTTGAGTGACAGTTCTTCTGAAGAAGGCCCGCCGCCAGTTCCACAGCAGGGTCAAAAGCGCACCAGGAAGAGTGCTGAGTCTCGCAAGAAGCAACCCCCCCTTGACGATGCAGTTCGTATTCAGAGCATGCTTGCCAAAAGTTCTTGTTGCAAGCGCAACTGCAAGGAGCAGTTTCGCGGGAAACATGGCCAGGAGCAGGTGTTGCAGTTCAGGAAAGAGTGGCAGGCCCTTCACAAGACTGACCAAGATGAAGTCGTGGCTAAGTTTTGGAGGAACGACTTTTTTTATTTAGGCGACTGTCATTTATTTGTTGTTTTGCTGGTTGCAAAGCAACCACATGCTCGGCGTCATGTCTGACCCAGGCGTTCAAGCGGATCCAGGACATTTTCAAAAGCAGTTCTGGAGATGGAGAGGCGCACAGTCGCACGCAATGGACATTTTTGTCAAAGCCAGTCTGTCTCAGATGCTGGAAGTCTTTGCGTGGCATGGGATACCATATCTACACTTAGCACTGTTGTCGGCTCCTTTCAATTGTGGTGTTGTTTAGCTTGCTGAATGTACCCCCCAAATTGTCTTTTCTGACTGCGCAAGTTAAGTCGCCAACGCTCTCAAGGAAACCGGAGATTCCGCAAGTTGCTGAGCGCAGTGCAAGAAGGCCAAGCCAAGCCTCCATTAGATTTGCGTTATTTGGAAAAACCAAATTTGGGAGAGATGATATCCCCGAAGTTGTCACTGAAGTGATCACTTTCCTGGAGCAGATATATACATCGGTAGCCGAGAACCTGCCGGATGTAAGGGATGAGTCCTGGGACGGCGCCTCCACAAACGGCCGTGAGGATCCCTATTCTTTGCGTCTTGATACTCTATATCCTCAGCCCACACTGCCTGCGGAAAGAATCACAAAATCGAAAAAACATCAACGTGGCGTGCAAATTTGTCCAGGCCGATCCGTAGCAGATGGTTGCGAAGAGAGGTTCCTTCCTGCCGGCACGATGAAGGACAACAAGAAAGCATCGTTCCCGACATTTTTTCATCAATTGTTTTTTTTCACCAGCCCTTTTAGGGCCTGTCAGGTCTTTAGGGTCCTTTTTGTTCCCTACTAATTAGATCAGTTGTTATTATATAGTGACATTCATTGGTTGTAAGGCGTGGTGTTCGCACTATTCATTCATGAAGTTTAGGGGCGCCAGCTCACATGCACAGTGCAGTGAGTGCGTGAAGCACAAGTCACTCATTGCCGACCTGGCGCATCATTTGTGCGCGCGTCGTGTGCAACAAGACCATTACTACCGGCATTTACAAGGCCAATTCAAAGATCGAGTGATCTACTGGAGAACGAGAGGTTTGGCGCGCGCGCGCGGTTTGGATATAGTATTTATCCAAGGCGGCATGGACCAATCCAAATTCATGGTGCCTCGATCTTCCCTCCTCCGGGCGAAGGTTTTTGAGTCGTTCAATCGGCCTCGGTTGCACGTGGTTGGAGTGATAGCACACGGCAGGCATGTAGCGTTCTATGTATCAGAGGCGGACCTTGCCAAGGACAGCAATACAAGTTGCGAAATTCTAGCCCATTTCCTCAACGAGCTCGCAAAAGCTGGGGTCGACTTGGCATCTTGCAACGTAACTTTGCAAGCTGACAACACGTCGCGAGAAATCAAGAACGGGATTTTGATGAGGTTCGTCAGCTCTTTGGTGAGTGACCGTGTGATCGGGAGTGGCCGGCTCTCTTTTTTGAGAACCGGCCACTCCCACGAAGATGTGGATCAACTCTTTGGAAGAGTTGCTTCCTGGGTGAAACTCCATGTTCGATCTGCTCTAACCTCCACAGACTTTGTGAGCGCTTTGAAGGAGTTTTGTGAGCATCTAGACCGGCCCTACGAGCCAAAGCGTATGGTGGTCAAACTTGACCAAACGAGGGATCTTTGTGGTTGTTTCACATAGGAAAATTTAGTGTGCCCAAGTTTGTTTGGCTATGAGTCAATGTTTGCGCTGAGCAGGCGAGGATGGCTTGCCGAGTCGATGCCAGTAGCTTTGAAGGGCATTGGAGGCCCAGGTGCTCCACACGTTATGCATTTTACACGGCGGATAGACGCAGGCCCGTGCCTTGCGCTGTGATGTTTCAAGCCTCGAAACCTTTTGGAATCTGTTGGAGTTACTTTTTTTGAACTTTGCAGTTGTAAAAGGAATGTGTTTTGATGTTGATGTGACGACAGGCCTTGAATCGCCAGAGCAAAGAGAGTTTTGGAGACTTTGCCACCCGCGCCCAAGCGATGTGATTCTCAGGCGTGCCCCTCTAGTATGCACTGCAAGTCTGGCTGAATCGAGGTTTTGATGTGATGTACGTAAGCATTTTCCCCAACCTGCCCAGGACTTCCCAGTGGATGCATGATGCATGTTTCTCTCACAACTTTCTGTTCTTGCCCCGCTTGTGGGCATTGCAGCATTTGCCTGTCGGACTTCCTGCAGGCTTGTGGGAAAGCGGGTCAAGTGGATCAAACCATTTCATTGCCTAACGAGTGGTTGTTCTTGTTCGTGTTTGTCTTGGTGCCAGTCATCGCTGAACGCAACGAGATTCCTGCAGCCTACAGAGAGCAGCTGGAGAGCGGGCTGCAGATTACTTGCAGAGTTGGTGTGATGGCAGTTGGGAGCAGCAACCTCTTTTGGTTCTTAGCCAGTCTTCTGGTTAGTTATTAGCTATTTATGGAATTGTGTGATGGGCATTTCCCCAATTCAGTTAGCGCCAAAGACGGCTGTTGAAATCCTTCTTGCAGCCCAAACGTGTTCTGGAAACCTCAGGATTCGATTGCGGCGCAGCAGAGAGGGGCATTCTCTGGGGTCTGATTTGTTTTCCAGGAGATGTCAGTTGTGCATGATTTTGGAAACCAATCCTTAAAAACAAACTAGAAAAATGTTGTGACTTGGCAGGACTGCTGCCTTCGACGTTCTGTCAAATCAGTTGAAGTTCCTTGTCTGTGTGTCTTTTTGCGGGCTGTTGCTTGAGCAAAACAAGTGTTTGAGAGGAAAGAGCTGTGGCGAAATACAATTGTTCGGAGATAAATGTCTGTGGCTTCTTTGTCGCACCTGTAGTAGTCAGGCTCCGTCTTCCTGATAATCACCGACAACAAGCTCGAAACTATTTGGAGCGGGCAACCTACCAGGCTGCGGCGAGAGTTTGGTCTGAGGGTGTGCCGTGGTCCGAGGCCATTGTTTTGGCAAAGCGGGCAATAGAAAAAGCGCATCCAAAAGCCAAGGCCAAAGGCCACGGTAAGTCGAAGGGGAAAGCGAGGCCCTCCCCAAAGGGGAAGGGTAAGGGCGGTAAGGGCTGACTTTCTGCCTTGCAACTCATCAACCCTGAGATAATCTTACCGCCTTTGAGGTTGAATTTTCACCCCCCCCGAAGTCAATTTGTCGCAACCCTAAACCCTAAACGTTTCGGCAGTTTAGAAATTTAGGAGCGGCAATTCGCTTTGCGGGCAGAAATCAGACGCACCGTGGCCAGTTGACTCAGCAAACCTGGGTGTGACGGATGCTACCTCAGATTGGTCACCCCACAGCATTCTGTCAAAGTTTTTGGAAGAACGTGTTGGGTTTACGCGCCGCCGGAAAAGTAGAAGCAACCTTTAGCGTGACCGATCTAACCTAGGATTGGTGACTTTTTTGGCTCCCCAGAAAATGGGCTCTGGGTCACGGATCCGGTGGGCGGGCTGTGAAGTGTCGGATTCAGAAGTGTCGGATTTTAAAGTGACGGATTACGAAGTCACGGATCCTACCTAGGATTGGTCACACAGGCCTGTTGTCACCGCAATATGTTTTGATGACCAATTTCTATATTGTACTCCAGCTAATTATTACTTGTGCTCTGAGCAGCATTCTAGAAGTCTAGAAGTGTCGGATTTCGAAGTGTCGGATTTCGAAGTGTCGGATTTCGAAGTGTCGGATTTTGATATGGGTTGATGGAACTTAAGTTGCCAGGTTTACTTCGCGTTCCTTGAGCTTGAAATTCCTTACCTTTGCTGTCTTTGCATTCGCTGTCCCCTATTCCTTCCATTTCTGTCCACGCTTGGAACAGCTGACGCAACAAGAACTTATTCGTAGTATTGTTGTGAGGCTGTTTGGGTTCAGAAGAGCTTCGATGCGAGCGTGTGAGCGCACGACATGCCGAAACGGAAGTCTGGCTCCGGGGATGCCAAGGCTAAGGCCAAGGCACTTAAGGCCACGACTGAAACCGACGCAGAGAAGGCAGAGAAGTTCGCGTGGATTGAGAAGCTGACAAGTTGGACTTTTGACTGCTTCAAGACCGTTGAAGTTTCTTCAACACAGTAGTTTAGTCTCTAAGGCGTCCTTTATGGAGGCGGTCCTTTGTTTTGGAATTTTGTTGAGTTGACAAAGATTGGGCGCCTCGTAACGGTGGCTTGAAAGCTGCTTCGCTTCGTGAACTTTCAGCTTCCAAATCGCAGCCTTCCTACTCAGGTATG